TTGATGTTGCTAGGGTCACAAAATCAAATGTACATTGTGAGACACAATAAAACTTGTATCCAAATCGACTCCATATTTTTTCATAACCATCCTATTATGTTAATGAGGCATTCTCCTATACGAAACAATTTCACCTTCTTGCATGACAATTTTTTTTATATGACTTTGGATAAAAATTAAAACACTTTTTCTCCTTCATACATAAAGCATCAAGATCAATAAGACCACAAAGATCATGCATCATGAAATTTGTAATAGACTTATAAGTTAGAGAGTCTAAATACTTATCTGAAATTTTGGTAGAGATGATTCTATCAACATCAGCAGCAGACTGGCATTTGACTTTTAGATGTAACCATAATAAAATATGAGTATGCAATAACCCTTTTTTTTTAATTTAATTGTATAAACCATTGCATAAGAAAAACAAATAATAGAAATAAAATCATATTGATTTCTACAAGAATAGATGACAAACAACAGAATCAACATGAATCACAAAGAATCAAATAAATAAGCATTAATGTGGATTAAAAAATATACCTACGAATACTTCACCAAAATGTTTGTTTTTTTATCATATCATCCATTAAACATTTAAACCTCACTTTAAATATTCTTACAAGAATATCAAGCCTGTTTTCAATTCGTTGGCCAAGAATTATAAATAATGCTTCAACAACTTTATGTCATCGTGGATTATATGTGACAGTAATAAAAAAATTTGTATGATCGTATTGTTTGCATATAACATTGGCATCTTGATAATTTTGAAACAAAAATCAAAGACCATATACAAAACTGGATGGATGAATAATTCTTTTACTCACAACTATTGCATCAGCATCACCTCTGCTGATTGCATCTTTAATCCCTTGATAAACTTCATATCTCAACTGTAATTGATTATCTCGAATTCACTAAAAGCTCATCCATTCAACACATAAATAAGCATTAACTATAAATTGTTGAAAAAATCTTCTTCCTTAACAAAGTGCATCTAGTTTCAATGCATAGTTGTATCAAATAGGCATAATATTCTATCATGATGATAGTTTTTCTTTCCTTATCACAGTTTTGCACACCTTTCAATTATGACATTTAATGTTTAATCCCTAATGAAAATTCATATTCATTAAAAGAGAATAAAATAGGGTATTACATTGCCATAAATTAAAGATGTAACTCATTGATCCATTTCAAACTATCACTAGCATGTTCAATAATGTTACATGCTTATCAATAGTAGATTTGTCATTTTCAACCAACAGTCCAATAATCTCTACATTCAAAGAATCAATATATCACATATCCTGTCCAATCTAGTCCTAATCAATTGTAATTTGATCGGTAGAAAATTGACTTCAACGAATTGATCTCTTACCATTCTAGAAGCTTTCACAATATGATTTGATTCATTCAACATATTTATTAAACCATTAACAATAATAGGGCTTATAGCATTCATTGTAGGTAAAAGTAGAATAAAATCAATCATCCTAGTAGAAATTTCATTAGTTCTATCATAAATGTATAATTATACAAAGTTTGGAAGATGATCTTGTGAAGGTAATGAAGATCCTATCTGATAGTGCATTTGATCAAAAACTCTGAATACATACAAACAAGGCCTTGTATTAATAACTACATCAATCTTACCACCAACTAATGTTAATTGAAATATCAAGTTATATATCCTAATATTATTTCTGAATTTAATAGCTTTTCAACTTTTCTTATAATCTAATAATGAATCAAGAAACAGAAGTGTGCAGCTAAAAGGTGACAATTTAAAATTTCTTTCTTTGTAACAAAGAGTGAAAACAGAATTGTTATTTTTACTAATATTAGAAACCCTTTCCTCAGACCACATTCGTGCACCGCAATAAGAACAAATGTGATTTAACCCATTAAGATTTAAGGGTTTAAAATATTTTCCTAAAAAAAAGCAAAATAAAAATGATTACAATATGCCAACAAAATAACAAAAAAAAAATTTAATAAGGCAAAAACCTAAAAGCAAAGAAAAAAGAAGTAAAATACAAAAGAAGAGAATAGAACTCACTATTAGCAGCACAATAACCACTCTGAAAATGAGGGCCATTTAAACTATGACCAAACAAACCAACATTCAATTGTAAAAACCTACTATCAAAGACTATCGGCCTGACAAGATTCATATTACAACAGTACATAGCGAACATGTTTGATATAACTTGAAGATGATTTTTAGCATTAGCTATTGAATGAAAGTTGACATGCTCACTCAATCTTAGGTGCTTTGACACAGATGAATTTTTTAGCCTTTGATTAGCAATCAAATTAATCAAAGAAACATTATCACAAAGCTTATCCAATGAGGTTAAAGAACCAATTGATAGAATCACATTGGATGAAGAAGAATTCTTAAAATGATTAATCCTATGTAAGCTACGAATGTTTAACCCTTTAAATCTATTAGTCATAAAGATCTCATGTAAATCCATTAGCAAAATAACAAATAAAAGAAAAATGAAAGCATATAAAACCAAACCAACGCATATAATCCAAAATCCTAGCCAAAAAGCAATCAAATTAATAGTTCTGTGCAAAAAACAAACATTCAAAATATCAAAAAAAGACTATAAAAAAATCAATAACAAACCTAGACATAAAAATAATAATTTTCCAACTTTTGATTTGTAGTCAAATTAATCAAAGAAGCATGATCACAAAGCTTATCCAATGAAGTTGAAAAACCAATCGATAGAATCACATTGGATGAAAAATAATTCTTAAAGTGGTTAATCCTATGTAACCTAAGAATGTTTAACCTTTTAAATCTATTAGTCTTAAAAATCTCACATAAATCTATTAGCAAAATAACAAATAAAAGAAAAATGAAAACATAAAAAATAAACCAACGCAAATAATACGAAATCACAGCCAAAAAACAATCAAATTAATAGTTATGTGCAAAAAACAAACATTCAAAACATAAAAAAAGGCTATCAAAAAACCAATAACAAACCTAGACATAAAAATGATAATTTTAGCAAACCAAATGGAACTTAAAGCAAGCAAAAAAAAAAAAAAAGTCAGCAAAACAAGCCTAACACAACTAACAAATGCACCAACAATCAATAAGAGATTAAGTGCAACCCAATAAAAAAAAATTTCTTACATAAAAAAGAGAGAGAGAACATGTTTAACATAATATAAAAAAAAAAAAAGAAAGTCACCAATGAACCAAATCAACTAAAATAAAGAATCAAAACTGATGAAAACATGTCAAGAGACAAAGGTTTATATAACATATTTTATTTGTTAATAGACACTTATAATAATTAAACGAATATAAGAAACAACATCTATGCTAAAAAAAACTTAATAATAGTGAATAAAAAACACTTTAAAGTTGCACACAAAATCATGAAAACATGACGTAAAATAATCTTGCAAAAAGTAAACGTACAAAAAACTCTTGGAAGACAAACAAATATAAACTTGAGATTCATTCATTTCGATTGATAACAAAACAAACAAAAAATTTTAGTATTCTACGACAAATAGAAAAAGGCTATCTCATATTATCAATGAAGAGGCATCAAAGCATCCAAAACTATTTTATAACAGTCAAAACCAGGTATTAAATGTTTAAAAATAACAACGGAATATGAACGATGCAAAACTCACAAAATAAAATGACATAAAAAAAAAGAGGAAACAAATAATCGAAAAGAAAAACAAAATAATGACTCTCCAATCAATTAAGATAGAGAACAATAAGTAAGCATAGAACATTTAATTTTAACGAAAAACACAATTAACGGCGTCAAGAAAAGTAAGAACAAATAAGAGAAAAAAGTAAAAAAAAAAAATCAAATTGAAAGGAAGAAAAACCAATAAAGATTGTAAGCACAGAATTAATAACAATATATCGAAATGTGAATCGAAAGTAAGAAGAGAGAATAGGCAAAAGAAAACCAAAGAAAAAAGCATGAATGGATAACCAAAGCAAAGAAAAAAAACGAAAAAAACTAACCTAAATGTAGCAAAAAAAAGCACACTGATGATGTAGTCAATAGAGAGGTAATATGAAAGAAATACAGAACAAAAAAAGCAAAAATATGAAGCAAGCCAATAACTTCGATAAAATACAATAATATGACATATGAATTTTAAGAAAAAAGAAAAGCTCAAACAAAAAATGGTAAGCAAAATAAATTGCAAAGATAAACAAATGATTTTGAAAGCTGAATCATTAAAAAATGCTGAATAATTAGTTAAACTCAGTGCAAAAATTAAGAAGGATTGAAGATAAAAAGGAACAAAATGCAAAAGAAAGATAAAAACCATGCAATAGCAAATAAGACAATTCTCTATTTTAGATGAGCGAAAAAAGAAAAAACAACCAAAGCAATTTCTTAAGAAAATGAAAACTTTGATTTAATTTTGTTAACAAGCAAAAAAAAGGAAACAAAAAACGAATAAAAAAGGTAATATCATTCTTTCCCCCATTTATTTATTGCTTTTGGATTGAATATTGATCCTAAAAAAACAAAGCAATGGTGATTGGACAAAAAAATCCAATAATAAATCAATCTCTAATCAACTCCTGTCATCAACCTGCAAACAAATCAATTCCTCACCAATTATTATCATGAAAAATATCATAAAATGAAAATTTAAAAAAGGTTAATATTTTTCCTGCATACTCAAACTGCCTAAAAGAGTCTTTATCCTAAAAAAGAAAAAAGAAACGAGAAAAAAATTTAATGAGATGGAGAACAAAATGAAAAGGGCAAAATAAGAGCCGATGATGTCTACATCCTTATAAGACTCCATTTTCTACAAAATTAATTGTATGGATATTTTATTAATCTATTATTAAATTTTATATTCTTTTATATAAATAAAATTTTTTGAATCCAACCATTAAATTTAATAAAATTTTCGTCAGTCGTACATGTTGGAATTTCAAATTACCTAAAAATATCTTCATATTTCAACTTTATTGCCGAATATAAATTATCCATTGATTGAATGATGCAAATCTTCAATGAAACATTCAGATTGAGGGGAAAAAGGTCTTTGATGATTGATGAGCCTTTTGATATGTGCTTCAACTATTTCTTGTAACCTTATAAGAAGCAAGAAAAACAATGTTAAAATGCAATTTGGCAAAACGTTGCACCATAACCTTTTTTCCTCTCTTCGGAAGGAGAAACAAAACTCCATCCATTTAGCTAAGGAGAAGAAAAATTTTATATTTTTTTTCCTTGTCATAAAATTGAAGATATTACTAGGAATGCATCTATATTATGTTGTCTTTACTCTGTACTCTTAAGGATGATGCTCAGTTAGAGTAGACATTTAGCTGGATTCTTCATCTTTGTCAGGTGATTCTTCCTCCATGTCTGCACCCAAATTCAGTGGCACATTGCCATGGTACTGTTGAATAACTAAGACTGATGCTGTCGTTGAGAAATCTGGAGAAATCAGCAAACTACCAACAGGCCCTAGTTCTGGGCATTCAGTTCTCCTTAAAGCTAAGGCCAATTCACTATCAGGCATTCGCCCCACAAGAAAAAGATTGCAGCGGCCTGCCCCACGAATTGCAGCAATTGTTTCTGTGACATTTCGGACAGCTTTTTCTTCATATCTAACAGAATCATCCTTTGACATCTTCTTAAACTCAGAAAGAAATTCTTCATCCAATGACATTGTTTTGAGGCCTGAATTCTCTTGCATATCAATTGTAGTGATTTCTCCGATAGTTTCAGGTTCCACTACAAAGCGCATGATGTTTACACGGATACCAGGGTGCTCAGCCATTCGAGCCCCATAAGCAAGGGCTTCACGATCATCACAGCCCCCAAAGAAAAGAACTGTTATCAAATAGGAAACATTGCTTGCAGATACATGGGTGCTTCCACCAAGCCCACGATCAACTAGAATTCCAACAGAACAGGGTGCATGTTCAAGAACCCTCTGATTCACCCGGCAGAAGTCTTTCCGAGTAGTCTCCAAAGAACCATCCACTCTCTGGTGCTTATGGAATGGAAGAATTATGATTGCAGCCTTCTTGCTCCCAGCAGTGGTACAAATGTCCTCATGCATGTCAGCCATTGAAGAGATAGAAGTCATTGGCCGAACAGTTACTCGACTCAGTTGTTGGAAAGCCTCAAATGCCACAACAACATGGTCACGCTGACCCTTATTCCAGAAGGGAAGCCCATTTTTCCTTGCTTTGTGTACCATTAATATTGCTGATGACCTCTCAGACAGCTCCATAAGGTGCAGAGCATACACAGAAAGTCCTTCACGCTTCTCAACTCCTCGTGAAGCCTCGAGGAGATTTATCATAGATGGAATATTTCTTGCACTGTGGAAACAGGCCAATATTCTAAGTTGAGTATCTGGATTTTTTCTTTCAATGGTCCTATACTTGTAGTCCATTTTTCTCCTCCTTGCAGGCTTATATACTGCCATGACAATTGGTGTAGTAATGAAGGTAGTGAAGATAGCCATTAGAACCATAATAGCAAATGTTTGATCATTCAGAACCTGAGAGTCCAAACAGCCAAAATGCAATAGTTATTTCATAAAAACCATAATGAAACAAGGCAATAACCCTAGTCACTACAGGAAGAAAACTCAATTTACCTTTCTATCCTTCCCAATGTTGAGAACAATCAATTCCACCAGTCCTTTAGTATTCATAAGGAACCCCAAAGCAAAAGCTTCAAGAAGAGGCACTTTGAAAGAAAGGGACACCATAACAGTCCCAACAATCTTCCCAAAACATGCAGTAAAAATCACCAAAGCCAGAAGACCCCAGGATTGGAGCCCTTGAATTGTTGCAACGTTTGTCTTCAGTCCACTTGACACAAAGTATAATGGTAAGAACAAACCAGATACAAGATCCTCAACTTTTTCCACAAGAGCATGGGCAAATGGCCCTTCCTTTGGGAAAAGAACTCCAACCACAAAAGCACCGAACATGGCATGAATTCCAATGGTATCAGTTACAAACCCAGCAGTCAGTACAGTAGTTAATGTAGCACATATGTATATCTCTTTTACTGGCTCGCCATCGTGACATCGATGGGCCATCCATTTGAAAATTGGGGGTACAATGAGAACTGAACAAATGACAAAAGCACTCCCAGACAAGAAGACCCACAGTGCTACAACAGGGGATCTGTTAGATCCAGATAGGGCAACAGCAAGAGCAAGTAGAATCCATGCAGCCACATCATTAACAGCCGCAGCTGACATAGCAATTCTTCCAACATCTGTCGTTAAAAGCTTCAACTCTGCCAGAATGCGAGCTAAGACAGGAAAAGCAGTAATAGAAAGAGCAACACCCATGAACACAAAAAAAGCAGAAGCATTTACACCTTTTGATATAGTTGCTCGGAGTAAAAATGAAGAACCAGCTCCTAATGCAAAAGGAAACCCTATTCCAGCAACAGCAATTGCAACAGCTGTTTTTCCAGTTCGCCGGAGGGCTTTAGGATCTATCTCTAGGCCAGAAAGGAATAAAAAGAAAATGAGACCAATATTTGCTAGGGTATCCAATACAGGGAGGCTCTTGGGAGGAAATATAGCTTGCAAATAGCTCTTGCTTCTACCCAGAACAGATGGCCCAAGTAAAATTCCTCCCTGGTACATAAGCAGCAAAAAATAAATGGTTTTATTATCAAATTAATTATAAGTTCCAATTAATGAAGACATTCACTCGAAAACCAAAAAAAAAAAAAAAATTCAGACTAACTGGTTCCTAATGCATGACACGTATATGGCAGCTTTAAACTCTGTTTAAGTCGATAGTGTAAGTTTGTTGGTTGTTCTACTATCTTACACTTGACAAGCAGATCATAAGTAAAAAGTGAATATGGAGGGCCAGGGAGAATAATTAAAGCATCAGAACCTCATGTCAAACAAGACAGGCTTTCAAAATGCTAGACAACCTACAACAAAGTATGGACTTTCAAAGTATGGACTTTCAATAGAATATTGTGTTACTTCCAGAAGCTATTCTAATTTTGTGCTCAAAATGCCTAAGAATTGGAAATGTTTTCAAATTTCAGATGTAAAAACTATTGAAGAGGAGAACTATAAACTTTTCTCCATTGTTTGATAGCAGGTATGCCAATAACTATACTTAATAACACTAAGATGGGAAATTACTACATGATTAGCAGAAGTTTGAACATAGAAAGGAACTCACAATGATCTCTGCAATCACACGTGGCTGCCTTAATGGCCTTAAAAGAAACGCAAGGCCCCTTGTGACTGCAACCACCAGACATATCTGCAGAATGGCAAGAGGAAGTGCATAATCAAGGGGGTTATCACCCTGGAAGAGGCCATTTGATGTAGCCTTCATTGGCAATGGACATTTCTGTCCAACTGTAACATTAGAAGCCATTCTACCGAGACAAGACTAACAGAAAACAGCACTTTACACTTCAGTTCCTGCAATGACATATAGCTCGTAAAACATCAGAATCCTAGAAAAGAAGGTGATTTTTAGCGACAACCTACACCAGCTTCACACCAATGACTCTTTTCTAGCTCCACGGAGGCCATCACTCTCCAAATAAGACATGGTAAGATGGCAATAAAATAAAACTCTCCTCTCTCTTTCTCTCTCTCCTCTCCTTAAAAAATGGTCAACTTTCCTTGTTCTGTTATATCCATTAAAAGTTGCACGAAGTGTGGTAGGACTCAAATCTCTTTCTTTTTTTAAGGTCACTTCTGAGCTTAGCTGCTATATTAATAACAAGAATTTTCTCCTAAAGTAGCTTTTAGAAACCACACCAAAATTGTAATAATTCCAAAAGGTCTAATGGGGATTTTTATTCATGCATGCGGCCACAAAACCAGCATCTTTCTCCAATCTCAGTTTTCAATATTATTATAAGATCAGCTAAAAGAAAGCACCTCAACATCCCGATATCAAACAGTTTGGGTCCTTGGGGATCATCATATCCCGGGCGCACCCAGATGCCAACTGAAACTAAAACTCCTCTGAAGATGCCAATAACAAACACAACTGTCTTGATAACCAGTTTACCACAAAAACTTAATTTAAATGCACATTAACATTTATCATCAACTCCAACGATACAGTTGTTACTTTACTCGGTTGAACAAGAAATTCAATTGTTTTTTTTATATAAACCCAATAGAGATTTCTATAGAAATATAAGTTGAACCCATAACCCTTCAAATCCTCTAGATTCCAAATTCTTTGTCACAAAACAACGCCAAGCTTTAAAATACATTTAAATTATTTGGAGAATTGTTCCATTGCCTCAACAAACTGTAATGAAAAATATATGAAACTGCTGATTTAAAGCGATATATCAGGCTCACTCAAAGTGCATGTGAAACTTCAGAATTAACTAAAAACTAAAAGGAAAAAAAAAAAACAAAAAAAAGACAATCCATTTATCCAGAATTCAATTGCCATTTTCCATAAAAGTCAACAGGAACCAGAAACAGAGAAACAGATCAGAGTGTTTTGTTTTCTAAAAGAATAGTTGAGGAAATCAACAAAAAAAAAAAAAGAAAAGAAACACAGTTTGTATCGTAATGAATAATGGGTAATACCTGTTTATTACGGAAGAAATAAAACGCCTCACACTTTGGCTTCTGCTCCTTGAATCCGAGGTTTCCAGAGAAAGGTCCGCTGGAGTTTGGCTTCTAAAATGGTAAGGAAACCAGATGACAACAAACGTGTTTGAGATTTAAATAAACCTTTCATTAAAAAAAAGAAACCCTCAAACTTGTTTCTTTGGGATCACATTCACATTCACATGCGGATGTGTTTGTGTTTGGTAGAACAAAGTTGTTGACTTTTGGTTAAGAATGGAAACTGGACTCGCACTTTTCTATTTTCCTTGCGGTATTTGAGTTTTTGGCATAGTCGTACAAGTGATGATTACGGATGGCATTGGGTCAGGGCTGGATGAGTGTTTTTGCCTTGAATTTGATCCGAATTTTTAAATTTAATATTTGAATTTATTTGATTTAGTATTAAGATATTGTTTTTTATATTCAAATTTAATTCCATCCATATATATTGAAATTCGTAATTAATTTAATTCGAAAATAATAAAATATTAATTATATATATAAATATAAAATTAAATAATTAATTAAAAAATAATATATATTTATATCAAATTAAGTTGAGAGAAGTTTGTATAAAACTTAACTTTGATATTTTTTTAAAAATATCCTATCTTATTCAACTTAAAACCTAATTAAAAAAAAAATCTTATAAAATTGGATCAAATTAAAAAATTTGATAAGTATGGGTTAGATTACCAACTCTAGTTATGATCAAGGCCTGTCAACCTTATTGAGATCGGGTGGATTTACATTTTATAGTATTAACTTTGTCTTTACTGTTTTTTTTTTTCAATTTTTAGAATTTGATTTTATTTTCATATAACTTTTTTTAATAAGAGTGTTAATGGTTCAGAGCATATTATATTTAATTTGATTTTTATAAAATTTTATATAATATTATAAATTTTTAAAATTTGAGCTGATCTTTCATATGATTTAATTTAAATCGAACCGAATCGAATTTTATTGATTTGATTTATTATTTTTTTAATTTAATTTTTTTTATTTTTTATATATTATTTTAATATATTTAATTATATTTTGATATAAAATTATTATTTTTATTTTATAAAAATTAATAAAAATATATAATTCAATTTGATGTGATTTTTTTTATATTTTAATATGAAATTTTATCCGAATTTAATATAAATTTAATACCTGAATTTAATCATAATCAAATAAAAAAATAAATCCAAAACTAATTAAATACTATAATTTTAAATCAATTTACAGTTCTTTTTAATTTTTTTCTTACCCCCACTTTCTGATGAAAGAGGTTCTTTGTTTTTCTCCTAATCATTTAATTTCATTGGAAATGCTTTGATGTCAAGTACCAATCTAATTACCATCATTTATTAATGGAAATGGTAAAGACCTTTTATATTTATATAAAAGTTCAATTTATATATTAATAATGTAATAATGTAATTGAAGTGGAGTTGATATTTAAAAATTATGAAATTTAAAGAATTTATATGTATAATATTTTTTTAATAAAATAAATAAAAAAATTTAAAAAAATTTTAAAGTAAATTAAAAATTAAAAAAAGACTTCAACCACAAACTTAAGCAAATATATTGGTGTAAAGTAATCAAATGGAAACAATCGCAGTCAACAACAGAGTGATTAATGAAATGACAGAACAAATGAAATTAGAACCCAGAAATGCTCCATGGTGAAAATCGGCGTGTCCCAAATTTCGGTTGTTGGAAGGGATGATCATTGGCAAAAGTGGCGAGATATTTGTTTTCAAGAATACAGCAAAACTTGACATATAGTTGTTCTGATATATATATTTATCCCTATTGGTCTCTATAAAATCTATCCCCATTTGCAATTCTATCATTCATTTCATTTCTTCCGCAAAGGACAATAATCGACACTCTGCCTCCAGTGATCTTAAACGCCATATATCCACAATCGGTGAGAGGGCAGCTGGATGGTTAAAATTTTTGTTTTTCTTAATAATTGAGATTATCAAAATTAAATTTTGATCATTAAAATTAAAAATATAATAATTCCCTGTTATTTAAACTTTTGGCAGAAGTGTTGAAGATTTTTCTGGGAGCCGGACATGATAAGGGTTTTCATTTTTTCTAGTCAGCACAACATTATGTAGATTTCAACTAGATTTTTTATATAGGACAGCACAACATTCCACGGAATGGATAATTGTTGGCTAAGCTAGTTATTTGTTGTTGTTAAAGATTGTCCAATCAATCGACTTTGGATTCGTTAAAAGGACGTTATCGTTAGGAAAAGAGGTCAACTTCGTAATCTATCTGTCGAAAGAATTGGTTGGACATGCGGATCTAGAGAATTTTTATTTCATCTCATGATTTTTATATTATATTTATTTTTTGTTTATATTCGAAAAATATTTTTAAATTTAACTTTATTTTTATTTTATTAGTATTTAATAAATATAGATAATTTTTATATTGGTAATTTTTGTAAAAAACAAAAACAAAAATTTATCTTTTTTTATTTTTATATAATTTTTTATAAATATATACTAATCTATATTTAAAATAAAAATTTATTAATTCTAATTAATTTAAAATAAAATTTTATATTATTTAATAAAAAATTATTTACTATATATAAAAATATATATATAAATATGGGTACCAATAGATTTTTTATTATTCACCTATGTTTTCATATTTAATAAAAAAAATTAAATTATACTCATTTTTATTTTTAAAATTTAATATTTACTTTTATTCAAATAAAAAATTAAATTTGTATTAAATATATATAAAATTAACATCTCTATCTCTATTAGTGTTAAGGGATGGTCTTTTTCCACATATCATTAAATTATTACAACCATTCAACCCTTAAATTATTATAACCATTCAACCCAAGAATATTTTTAGCGGCCAAAAAAAAACCAAGAATGTTCTTCAAACTAATACCTATTTATAAGCTTACAACGTACCCTCCAAGTTGCTTTTAGTTTCTTGGTTTGGGTTGCCATAAGGTGAAACAGTAATCGGTCAAATAGCAATCCAAAGTTCTTTTACCAAATTCTACTGACAGCCATTTCTAAAAATAGTTCTTCTATTATATATATATATATATATATATATATTTTGTCGATCTAATATTTAAAGAAAAATAAAATTATAAGTTTTATATTTGAATTTTTATTTCACCATCTATTTTTCAGTTTGTATTAATGTAGTTATTTAACTTATTAATGTAACATGAACAATCAATAAAAAATTGGTACATGTCAAAAATTTTAATCAATGTTATGTCGGAATTAATCAAAAAATTAAAAAGAATTTTAAAAATTTTAAAAAAATTTAAAAATCTGAATTATTTTAAAAAATTATAAAAAAATTAAAAAAATATGAAATATTTTTAGAAATTATAAAAATAAAAAATTATTAAAACTTAAAATTTTAAAAAATTTCAAAATTTTAATAAAAAATAAAAAAGAAAATTTTAATAAAAATAATAATTTCTTAAAATTCAAAAAAATTCACAAAAACTTAAAAGTTTAAAATAAAAAAATCTAAAATTTTTTTTAAATCTAAAAATTTATAAAAAATATCTTCAAATTTTGATAAAATTTAATTAAAAAGGATTTATTCTTCTTTTTCATTACTAACAGAGATCAATTTTAAAAAATTTTAAAAGAGAAATCAATCTTAAGATCCTAAAGCTTTAAGCACTAAGTTAAGGTGGGATACAAAACCCATTTTTATTTAGAAGATTAAACTGGATTAATGCGATAATAGAAGAATTGAGAGAATATAGGACTCTGATAATGGTAATTAGGTTTCAATTTTAGCTAGCGAGAGATTGAGAGTGTTTTTGTCAATAGGGAAAAATGGTTCTTTTAATAAAAGTTCAGTTGTGATCAATTATAGCTATATAAGATTTATGATTGATTTGCTCTTATTAAGGGAATGGATCTTATATATATTTTATTGCTTTGTGGTAAATGTTTGGTTTCATGAGATTTGGTTGATAATTAATTGATGTTATGGGGTGGATTTTTGGAATTTGAGGCTGTAAAACAGATTTAGGTTTGCTCTATGTGGTGATGTTTCATTTCAATAATTGTGAATTTGTGATAAATTTGATAGGTGATTGAGTTAGATAATTTTGCAGACAACAGATTGAGTGGAAAAGAATCTTCACGATGATCTTCGGATGGAAGTGAACTTTGGTTTGGATGATGGAAAATGATAAGCTTATAAGGCAATTGTATATAATTTCTCCTTGAAATTTGCTGCAACCCCTTGTTGCTGGATCAACATCCAGATCATTTTGAGTGTTATCTCGCAAAATAGATCTTGGGATGTTGGGAGGTTGCATAATGAGGCTTGTTGAGAATATCAATTTGCTATGCTGTTTTCTAGACGTGTCAAGAAAAGTTGTTATAGAGGGAATGATTTTGCAATGTTCCTCAATACCATCCTTTTTTTGTTTTTTTTAATCTTCATTGGAGTCAAAAGTGATATGTATGTTCTCATGACATGTCCTTTTTATAGGTTTGAGTTTAAGGTTGATTTTTAGTTAAAGGAAAACAAGGTAAGGCAATATGTGTTGGGGAATTAAGGGATTATTCTAGTTGAGTTTTGGGAATGTTTTTTTTGGATTGCTTGGCTTGCAAGATGTTAATATTGCTGATATCTTGGTAATTATAATGGTGCTGCAGGTTTTTCAAAGTCTTCTTGGTTTAAAAAGTGTTCTTTTTTTTGCTGATTCTCACTCAATGATAGCATTATCTTAGGTCTATAAAGCTTGAATTCAGACTTTGGAAGAAATGGGACACTGTGAATGAGATTGATAAGCTTACTAAGAAGATTGGTGTGATTGATTTTGTTCATATGTTTAGAAAAGCTAATGTTTTGCTAACTCTTTAGCTAAGTGGGGTGGATTGAGCTGGTTTCTTTTTTGTTTGGTTGTAAGCTATTTTGATTTTTAGAGGAAGATTCGGTTTGAACTGGTGGCTTATTTAGGCTTTGTTTTGCTGATATTTTTGAACCAGGCTTTTATGTATTACAATTGCTAACTTTTTATGAATAAAAATGATCTTTATGGTTGAGAAAAAAAATTAGAAACAGAAACCAATCTAATAGAATGTTTTAATTACTGATGCAAAATCCTCGTATATTTTTATATCAATTTTCGTTTTTTTTTTTTTTTAAACAATTGATTTGTAATCTTCAAAGATTAAGCATTTTACTTTATTCCAAAACTCCACCCGCATCCACAAAGGCAATATCTTGGAAATAATTTGCTTAATGGTGATTTCTTACTTTTATTATCACCTAAAAATGAAGGAGAACCATTCAAATGATCTAGTCAATGGACATTTTTATTACTTGAAATTTTTTAAGGTGTCTTCTTATTATGAAAGAGAATTATCCATCGCTTACTGGAATTGCTGGATTTGGATGGAGAACAACAAAGCTGTTCACAAATCATAAGTCACAATCAAGAGTGACCTTAAATTGTTTTGTATTTGGATTTTTTTCATTTTACTTTCCCAATATTTCATTTTTGGAGACTATTATTTCATTCTTAGCCAATGTCCTTGCTATTGGCAAAAGATAAAAATGAAAGAGAGTCAGACTCACCGAACTCGCAGGGAGTTAGAGAAGAGGGGGATTGGAGAAAGAAGAGTGATGTGTAATTTTTTTGCTGACATGGATTTAACTGTACAACACTATACGCTTTTGGAATAAAGTCAAAAGCACACCATTTAACGAAATAAGATTATAAAATACCTTTGTTGGGGAAAAAACTCCAAAAGAAAGATGATGATCATTAAATGTATATCTAACAAGTGTTGGTTTTCCAAACTATGCATACCAGCAGCTTAGGGGTGAAACTTGGAGAGCAACAGTAAAGAATTCCCACATTATATTCTATACGAAGTGAACTAGATTCTTTGTTGACAATTGTAAATCCTTTTGTCATATTTTAAGAAATTACGGATATCATGCATGAAAGTAAGATACAATTATTCTATTTAATTTTAAAGATCACGGTTGTAAACTGATTGTGATTCTGAACATCCAACTATCCAAGGCAGAGCAAAGTTGATGAATGATCATGCATTTTCTAGATCCTCTTCGGGTGTCTCTGTAACTTTTGTAGAAGTCACTGAAGGAGGAGATGATTGCTTTGTAATTCTATACTGTTGTACCACCAAAACAGATGCTGAAGTTGAGAATTCAGGGGAAGTCAAGAAGCTGCCTACTGGCCCTAGTTCAGGGCAGTCACTCTTAGCATTCAATTTTGCAGTCATCTGACTCTCAGGCATTCGACCAACCACGAAAAGATTGCATCGGTTGAATTCTCGAATTACTTCAATGGTTTCTGTAGAATTTTTTACGTCTCTTTCTTCATAACTTATTGAGCTGTCATTTGAGATTTTCTTCTTAAATTCCAGCAGAAACCGTTCATCAGCTGATCCTCCTGAAGCATTGAAGCTTGTGTTTATATCAGCTCTGACGATCTCACTCGAAACCTCAGGGCCCTGTATGAAGCAAATAACAGTTAGACTGATGCCAGGGTGCTCTGCCATACGTGCACCATAAGCAAGGGCTTCACGATCATCATGTCCCCCAAAGAACAGGGCTGTTATATTGGAAGAAACATTGCTTGCTGATATATGGGTGGTTCCACCAAGACCGCGATCAACTAAGATGCCCACTGAGCATGGTGCTTGCTCGAGAACCCGCTTATTGACCCAACGATACTCAGTTCGAGTCGCCTCAAATGCCCCATCCACCCTCTGGTGCATGTGAAACGGGAGAATTATCATGGCTGCCCTTTTTCTTTCAGCACTAGCGCAGATATCCTCATGCAAGGTAGACATTGCTGAGATTGCAGTCATTGGGCGGACAGACACTCTGCTTAGTTGCCCGAAAGTCTCAAAAGCAACAACAACTTGATCACTATCAGACTGTTTCCCTTTATTCCAGAAGGGTAGCCCATTCTTTCTTGCCTTGTGGACCATTAGTATAGCGGATGGCCTTTCTGAGAGCTCCATGAGGTGCATTGCGTAGACACATAGTCCTTCCTTTTTCTCGGTTCCCCGTGAAGCCTCAATGAGATTAATCAGAGTGGGAATGCTTCTTGTACTGTGGAAGCAGGCCAATATTCGAAGCTGACTATTTGTGTCTTTCCTCTCAATTGTTTTGTATTTGTGATTACCTTTACCCTTTCTTTTTGCTGGCTTATATACTGCCATCACAAGGGGAGTAGTTATAACAGTTGTAAAGACGGCCATCAAAACCATGATTGCAAATGTTTGATCATTCAATACCTGCAATATCAATTGGCAAAAATGATTAGTCAAGTAAATATGTAAGCAGAACAAACATAGAGCTGTTCAAGGCCTTGAGAGCAATCCAACAGCCAAAAATAAGTTTAATTTACCTTTCTGTCTTTACCGATGTTCAGAACAATGAGCTCTACCAAGCCTTTAGTGTTCATCAGGAACCCAAGGGCTAGAGCCTCCGTGAAAGGCACCTTGCACATAAGGGAAACGGAAACAGTGCCAGCTATCTTTCCAAAACATGCTGTAGCAATCACTAGAACAAGGAGGCCCCAAGATTGAGCCCCTTGAATTGTGGCTACGTTTGTCTTCAATCCACTGGAGACAAAATACAGAGGAAGGAAGAGGCCAGAAACTAGATCTTCAACTTTTTCTACAAGGGCACCAGCAAATGGGCCTTGTTTGGGGATAAGAACTCCAATTATAAATGCACCGAAGAGGGCATGAATTCCAATTGTGTCAGTAACAAAACCTGCTGCCAAAACAGCAGCCAAAGTTGCACATACATACAATTCATCCACTGGTTCACCCTGAGGGCAACGCTGTGCCATCCATTTGAATATAGGAGGGACAATTAGTATGCAGCAAAGGACAAATCCAGAACCACACAAGAAAACCCACAATGATACAAGGGGAGAATGGCCGGTTCCTGATAAGGCAATGGCAAGAGCTAGCAGAATCCACGCGGCCACATCATTCACAGCCGCAGCTGACATTGCCATTCGGCCAATATCTGTAGTTAAAAGCTTTAATTCAGCCAAAATACGGGCTAAGACAGGGAAGGCAGTAATCGAAAGAGCAACCCCCATGAATACAAGAAATGGAGCTTCATTTGCACCCTTTGAAACAGTTGCACGAAGGGCGAATGATGTTCCTATTCCTAATATAAAAGGAAGGCTAATCCCTGCAAGAGCTACATAAAGAGCTTTCTTTCCCGTTTGGCGGAGTGATTTTGGATCCAACTCTAAGCCGACAAGAAATAGAAAGAAGAGTAGACCAAGATTGGCCAAAGTATCCAACACCGTAAGGCTTCTAGATGGGAAGATTGCATTCAGATACTTTTTGTTTCTACCAAGAGCTGATGGGCCGAGTAATATTCCTCCCTGCAAAGAAAGTGCAAAAAAAATTGAAGTCATTAATTCTCCCCGTTATCATTTGACAAACCAACTCTATATGTGCTGTTTATTCATAGCTAGTACATGCAATCTGGGAATGAAAGTTTAAATGTCTGTCCAAGTGAGGCTAATGAAAAACTGCAGCAAGCTGTCGGCACTGACTGTTCACAAATTTGGATTATGTGCACGCAGTTAAGATTGAACCGTTTTGAAAAAGTTGGAAAGAAAGAAAGAAATGAACTTACAACAATCTCGGCGATGACACGAGGCTGCCGTAAAGGCCTTAGAAGAAAAGCAAGAATGCGAGTGAGGACAACCACAAGGCATATCTGAAGGATGGCGAGCGGGAGTGCATAATCCAAAGGATTATCACCCTGGAACACCCCGTTTGACGTAGCCGTCATGGGAGAAGGACAATGACTTGCATTTGTAGCATTCATGGCCAAACTGCATCAGTACCTTCGCTAACACAAATGAATTTGCTAATCCAAAATTCAGTTCCCCTGCATCCACAGAACGGGAATTAAACTGCAAAACATCAACAACTCGGATTCTAACTGCAAACATCCAATCCACATTTTTCTATAGATGTTTTCAACTAAATAATGGGAGTAATTGAGAATCGAAGAAAATGGCTTCACTTTGGGTAGATTTGGTGAGGGTTCAGCATCCAACTAAGATTAAAATTAATAATTAAATGGTGCTTTTAAAGTTCTTTGGGTAGATTCGGTGAATGTCATACTTTTTCTTTATATAGAAAAGTTTTGTTCCTAAAATTCCAGCTTTCCTTGTGATAGTCAAAATCCAGCTTTTTTTTTCTCACTCTCAACACTTCCTATTTCTTTTTTATGTTGGATATAATTCCTAATTCCAATAGAATTCATAAATTATTGATAAATATTAAAACCAAACTTTGACTATTTGAGCTTTAGGGTTTAAGCATTCATAAAGGTTTCGTATATTTAATAGTACAAAGAAAACGTATCAAGAATGTCAGGGCTATAATAGAAAAAAAAAAAACACTGGCTAATAATTAAGATAACATGGTCCAAAAAAAAACCGAGAAAGTCCCATTAAAACTCAGGCATGCATATCTCCCTGGTTCTTCGCCATTACGGGGAACCATGTTAATTATAAATAAAAAAATACGGATGAATCGCATAAACCTAATATGTCAATGTCAATGTCACATGCAATATGATTTATTTATTTATATATCAAAAAGCAAAAAAAAAAAAAAAGAAAAACACTAAATCTTATTCATGCTGCACATGACACAACTTGTCTACTTTGGAAAAATTTTAGAGATTTCTTACCGAATAATTGATATTAATTAATTACCGTATTCAATTTTAGATATACTAAATGATAACCATTCATGGGAGAAATTTTCTAAACTATATGAATAAGACTATAAGAGTGCAAATTAACTAAAAAAAATCATGGTACTTGTTTCATAAATTGCCAAATTTTTGTATTATACTGACAGAACATACATGTATATCATATTAAGGAGCACAAGTATTTGGGACAAAAATGATGGGACTAATAGAAATTTTCAAAAAAAAAAATTATTAACTCAAACTTTGTCTGGTTAACAAAACTTTATCTATAATTTTTGGAAATTTAGGTTAGGGTTTAAACTTTGAAGTTAGTATTTGTTCACAAAACGTACCCAAAAAGAAGTTTAAAAAAATGGGGAGGGGCATTTGGGTCTTTTCGGAGTAATTTACTACGTTTTTCAACGTGGTTGAACGTTAAACAGACCATTGGAGAAGGATCTCCGCGTTTTCGGCGAAACCTCGTCCAAGTAGAAGGTTGCCTGAATTGCCGGCATTTGCCCTCTGTTCCCGCAAAGACATTATTGCCCCCAAACTCGCTTCAAATTTTCAATCTCAACCACTCAACGTAGTCTAATAACCAACGAGAAGATAAGTTGTTAAGCAGAATTAATTAATTATTATGAAAACACATTAAAGGTCTAATCTCTTCATTAAACATATAACATATTATGAATTCCACTTTCTCGAAACTCCACGTAACACAAGAAAAAAGAAAAAAAATGTGACGATTATTTTTGCTTTTGTCATCTGATATAATCTTCTCAGTGACCAAACAGCTTCAGAGAAATTAGAAGAAAAAGAGAGTACTACTTACCAGAACTTGAAGTACTGTAAAAATCCGTCTCTTTAATCACATTCCTTTTCTCTTCATATTTATGATCAGAAAACCTCTCTTCTTTACAATCAGTGAAGAAATGAAGAAACACAATTAGCAAAGAATAGCGCGATGGTTTGGCTGGCATGACAGGAATCAAGCAACTCTTCGCATATATAGACCCCTGACAATGATTTAAATTCCGGTTTTGCCCTTGTATGATCACCCACTACCCTACATAATACTAAGTTAAAATATATTAATATGTCCTCTCCCTAGGACCTTTTGGGTAAATTAAAAATAATATATTGTAGTGTAATAAAATGAAATTTTCCATGTAAACTTTGAACAAGGTTTTTTTATTTCTGAGAAGAATTTTGAAGACTTTGTAGTTTTGAAGAAAGTAAAGTCTATTACGATATCCAACTTTTTAATCCAAGGAGGAGAAGAAAAATAAAAAGAAAACTAGTTGATGGATTGGCTGTTGAATAATCTAAACCTGACAACCAATGAAATTGACATAATTGTAATTAGAATATGATAAACATGGTTAACTTGTGGATTTGATGCTGTGTGCGTAGCTAACTTTCCAATTAATTAATTGAAAATAAGTATAATAAAAATTGTTCTCACTGTTTTTTATATGCTTTTTTTTTTTATATCACAGGTTCTTTTTGTATGGTGTCTCTAGCTATATGTAGAGTATCATATAGAAAATAGAAAAGATTATAATTCAAAGCAGAAATGTGGATGACTAGAAGTTGTTATATGGCTTGTTTTAATTTATGTTATGACCTCAAAATGATTGTTTCTCTACGCAATTATATTATATTGTTTAGTTTGCAAATGATTTATCAAAATCATTTTGAGAAGGGAAATTAAGAAAAAAATATGTTAGATCCCATTCGCATATATATATATATATATATATATATATATATATATATATTAGCATAGTGCAAACTATTTCAAATCTTATGTAAATATATAAAAATCAAAACATTTAGTAAAAAATGAAAATTTTCAAAGTGGATAGTTTATATAATTGACATATAGACAATTTTAAAAAATAATCATGTGCCATGCATTTATTTTTTATTTAGTTTGAATAAAATTTTTATAAAATTTCAAATAATTAATTATAATTCTTTCCTTTAAAATTTTCAATTTAATTACTTACCTTACATTTGTGTGACCTATTATAGTCTTCTATAATTAAGATTTTAACTTAAATTATGTTAAATAATAATTTTTTCTTTCCATATTTGCCAAAAGGTTTTAATATAAATTTAAATTGTCTATAATCATGTTTATGCCAAAATAAGTTATGTAATGAGATTATTCTTTCCAATTTATCATTATTCCCTTCCATAAGTAATTCTCCTTTTAATTCATCTTATATAAAATATATAAAAATCAAAGCTTTTAGCAAAAAAAGAAATTATCCAACATGGATAGTCTATGTAATTGATATGTGGATGATTTTTAAAAATAGTCATGTGTCCTACATTTAATTTGAATTAAATTAAAAAATATTTCAAATAATTAATTATAATTCTTTCCTTTTAAAATTTTAATTTAATTACTTACCTTTTTACATTTATGTAACCTTTTATAGTCTTCTATAATTAAGATTTCAACTTAAATTATATTAAATAACAACATTTTCTTTCCATATTTGCCAAAAGGTTTTAATATAAATTTAAACTGTCTATAATCATAATAATGTCAAAAAAAGTTACATGATGAGATTATTCTTTACAATCTATTTTTATTACCTTCCTTAACTGATTCTCCTTTTAATTCATGGTCAACTTTTCATATTTAAATTTTAGAAATTTGAATATTTTTATAATTAATTTCTCGTGACCAACCACAATTATAAATTTTTTATATTGATTTAGAAAGTAATGAAGATTTTAGGTTTGAGTTTGTAGCAAAAAATTTTTATAACCCATTTTTTGTTGATGCATTCATTTTTGCATATTCAATGATCTTATGATTATGTCTTTGCATGTATATTTTGTTTTGTATGAATACAATATTTTTTATCTTAATTATTTGAGATCCATGTATAACTTTTTAGAGACTTTTAGTAGTTCAATTTACATATTACTTTTTACATGAAATACAATGTGTGCTTAATATAAAAATCTATAGTAATTTGATTTTGTATACAAATGATCTTAGCCAAAGTATACAGACAGTAGATATTAAGAAATTGTAAACTATTATAAAATTTCAAAGGAGTAATTATTTATCTTAGTTAGAAATACAGTAATTATTGATAGTTAGATTTGATTCTTTATATGCTTCATATAAAATTCACTCTGCTTATAAACGTTTTGAAATAGATTGAAGAAGATATTAAAGGAAGATTCAGCAACTACAGAAAAATTACCTAGGATGTTGTCTACTTGGAATTTTTTTCAAACTTAAGGCATCATTCAAAAAATATTTGATTGATTGTTTTCTTTAATAGTTTTTGTATTACAAATGAGATGTTATATTTCATTTTTAATTTGATTGTAGTTTTCTTTTAGCTCCAGTTGATTTGCAACATTGTTTTTTTGATTTAACACGTTTCTCCTAATAATTTGGATAAATAATTAATTGATTTTTTGTGCTATTGTAGTTGTTTATTAAATTTCATATAAGTTTTCTTTTCATTTTAGTTGGTATTAAGTTTATTTTTTACATTAGTATGTTTGGAGATGATGTGAATAAATTTTAAATATGTCATATTTTTCGTCCATTCTTTATTACAAAATCAAAATACAAACAAATTTTTGTTTAATTATTTATTACAAAAAATAAAATACAAATAATGTTGTAACTAATTAAAAAGTACTTTTATTTTAATATTTTAAGCATAATGCTATCTCATTTTATGAATTTATTAATAATATTTTAAATCTATAATCGTTGCTTTTAATTAATTTTTTCAAAATTTTATTGAGTTTTACTTTAGATAACAACGATTTTTATATTATATTGTCATTGTAATCATCTTTCTAGAATTGAAATATTTAACTAGATATACGAATGAAATACAAAATTATGGATCAACAATATATTCACACTTTTTTTAAATTTCTTCAACTAAAATCAATACACATAATTTTACAACCCAAAATATATAATTAAAACTCTTTATCATTATTTCTTTTTAATTTTGGTAATTTCATAGTTGCTCTAATTTTTATATTTTAGTCCATAAAATTGTATAAAAATCTATTACCAAATGCAAATTAGTGTCAAAACACTCATTTTTTACTGAATT